GGTCCATTTACCATTTACAATTCATGTGCTATGATAGAGAACATTTTGTAAGTAAGATTTTTTTTGTTGTTGTATGGAAATGTTTTATAGTGACATGTGTGATACATTTTAAAAGAGCAACAGCAGTAGTCCTGGGAAATATAACATTAGTGCAATGCTCCACCCATTGAAGTACCAATATAAAGAAATCCAAGAAAAAGGAAAAATAAAATTCCATTCCTCTTTCAATTTACTTTAAAGTTGCTCCTTTCCCTCATCCAATTGTATGGACAATCCAGTAAACTGCAATTAGATTTTCTATTAGGAAAAAAGTTATTCTATGAATCTACCTTGGGGCACTGGTGTATCCAGATGACTTCACTTTCGAGTGGAAAACCAGAGGCTGCTCCTTTATTCCTCCTTTGTAAAACAGATAAGGTGGTCTATTAGACACAGACTGACAAACAGTATGAAGAATAAATGATCTACAGTATACGCCTAAAACATATAAAAAGATCCTAAAAAGAAAGTAACATTTAGAAATGGGTAGATGTTGCAACATGAGTAAAAGGTCAAAAGGAAAAAGACTCCCGTTCATTATTTTCCATAATTAGGACAGAACTACTCATTATACTGTAGTGGGTAATGGATTATACTAGGAATGGAAGATACAATATTATTGGGTGACCACTCTGTGCTGTGAGCATTAAGTGCATCAGCCACAAACTGTGGGATGGTCCATTCTGCTCCCTGTTCGCTGTCAGTGCCTTTACTATATTACAATGAGCTCACTTTTTCCACAACCATTAAAATGTGGGAGGCTCTCCAAAAACTGCTCTCCTGTCAAATACAGGCAAAGTAAGAAAAAGTCACATAATCTCTGAGCAGCAACTTAGGACTCAAGTTGCATCAGAAAAAAATTATATGGATTTGGTTTACAGCCTTGACTCCAATTCAACACTAGCTTATCACCTAAGCAGAGATTAACCTGTAAAATTAAATTTTCCCAGGCCTTATCTAAAATAACTGAGTTGACTAAGAATTGAGTTGACTAAGAAAACTAAAACCTACAAGCAAACCTTGTTTGTTAGGTGTGTGTTTGAGCTCTTTCCATGCAATATATATTTACACAGCTTTGCTTTTTTCAGTGACAGTAATTCATTTTCTAAGGTACTGCAGTTTAGTGACAGCTTGTTACCGAACAGGAACCTGAAAAACACGGATTGATTGGTGCCGTTGTCAGATCCAGTCACACTGATGTCTTTAGCAGTAGCTTATTTTCGAAATGTCAAAATGACAAATGGCATTTGAACTGTTCTTCAGAGCTTTTTGAAAAGGAAAACTGATGAATGAATCCCTGATGACAGTCAATAACCGCAAGCAAACCTATGGTTAATAACTTTACCTCAACAAAAAGCATCATCTTACAGTAGAGTCAGGAATAGGCATTCAATGTCAGTAGATTTAATTTGCTAATAGACCATTAAACTTACAAAACTTGAACAGCTTAACAGGTTCACCTGACTGTGAATCCTTTACCTAATGTTTGAGTGCTAGGTACTATCAGTTGTATCAATAAGGGCTGCACAATAAATGGCATCATATCGCAATATCTGTCAAATAATCGCAAAATGATCTTTTACCATATTGTGCAGCCTGAGTCTCAACACAGTAATACATTTACTGCAAGTAAAACCAACCAGTCAGAATCAAAAAGAAGCACATCTGGATCTCTTTTCAACCCTCTCTTATCTGGGAGTGCTTTTTATCTTTGATCAGCAGTGCCAATGTTCACTCCAGTTTTGGCTTAAAGGGTATTTTCCTGTAAAGTACACTTGACAACCTCTGAACAATTAATCTGTTCCCTTTTCCTTGGATTCTGCATTGAAATTTGAGTTTTCTCTAGGTACATGCCGTTTCTTTATCTGTTCTCAAAGGATATTACTGCTGATACTATTCATGCTGTCTTGCATCTGTAAAAGCAATAGTCTTATTTCCTTCCTTAGTTCAACTTTTTAACAGCTCTGGTTTTTAACTTAAAACGTTAAATTGGTATGGTATTGTATAAATAAGGAAAGACAGTATAAAAAAGTACATAACAAATGTAATATTGCTTTAACTTGACAACGAAAGCTCTTGTGACACTGGTCGCTCACATGTAGCACCTTCCACCATTCCTCCACTGTGTGTTTGTGTGAGGTGGTGTACTGGAAGTATCTTTTGATCTAGAACAGATTATATGCAGGAAAAACTAAGCATTTTAAGGCCAGAAATCTAATTACCTGGCGACACAATCACTTGGCTTTGCTCAGCAGCCCTATTGACCCCCTGCTGATATATAATGGTCATTTAGTTTTATGGGGCAGTAAAAATCTCATAATTTACGCTGACTTGAGACTAGACGCTATTTGAAGCAAAGTGAGAGTTTCAGACAAATTTCCAAGTCGAGTCATATCTGTGTAAAATCACAGCGGTTTGCTGTGTGCTTCTTTTACAGCTCTTAACTCATTATGTCAGACTTAGCCTACGCTGTCTTTACCATTACAGCACACAGGTTTCATAATGTTGAAATTCTTCAGTCTAGCTCAAAACATTAGGATGTTTAGCTTCTGATGCAACAACGAAAAGAGCCACAAATGATTATTGTTACAATAAGGTTTTGGCTGCAGTCACATGAGGTTCATGAGGGAGGCTATCTGCTGAGGCTATAAGTGTTTTTTATGATGTAGGGTTAACAGGATTTCTGTGATTTTAAGAAGTGACGAGTGAGAAGATTTGTTTTACAGTTTGGTTTGTCTGCATTAGAAGGGACAAGGCTCAGGCCAGCCCTGGACTTCATTCTAAAATAAACCACTAAGTTTTGTTCTCAGTCAGAAAACAGGAGATGGTAAAACTCAGACCTCCCTCTGAGTTAGCTGTTGAATGCGGCCCAAGAAAAAGACTTCAAGCTTCTAAAAATGTATAAACCATAGCAGGTATATATGTCTCAAGGATATCATTTTGACTGTAACCAAAGTCTCTGGTATGAGTTATTGCTTTACTGACCTGTGAAAAGTGGGGCACACAGTAGGAGAAAGGAGTGAGCAGAAGTAAAAAGGTACACAGAGGCACAGTAACCGAAGACTGACTGGAATTATGAATATGGAGCCAAACTGAGGGTCTGACAGCAACAGAAATCATGTAGCACCTGAAGAATATGCTGGCCATGTGTAACATGTGTGTAGCATACTGGAGGGAAATGTACAAAGAGGTCAAAGAATGTACTACTACATGTAGCTATGCGAATAAAGCACTAACCACATATCAAACTTTAATAGAGAGCTAAGTGTGAACTAAACTATAAGGCACTCTGTACTGTGGTTGCTGTAAAGCAGTGATACATGGAACAATAGAATAAAATCCTTTTTCATTCCAACTGGACTAGTCAAGGCCTCACAGTTCGCTGTGACATACAGGTTGTTTTCCTATCTCTCTTCGACCAAAACTAGCAAAGTAGCTCTAAAAAATAAGACTGACATTGATGCTTAATGATCTGTGTCATGTGGAAGTAGGCTGATGTCTTGCAGAAGACATTCAGATTGTAGTTAAGTACTTTCACATAAATCTAAGCCTGTCTCTCCTTTTGAAATAATTTCATTGATTCAAGGTTATGTTATTGTCATTTACAACTGAAAGGTTGTAGAATGAAATTCAGATATAGTTCCCTTTAAGCTACTAAATTCATACAGTCATACTATACATATATTAATATGTATGATGAATTGTTGAGTAAGTTTAAGTAAGGTGGTTTGGCAAAATAA